ACCAGACCATTCGACCAATTTGACCAGACCAGTTTGACCAGTGAATTTTTGGTTGACCAGTGATTTGACCAACTCTGTTTATACTGTATCTAGTTTGTGCTTCTGTTTGGTACATACAGGCTGAAGCCCACTATTTGCAACTCAGTTTTTACCTATTTTGAGAGTGTATATGGTATCGAATCATAAATCTTTGCTTATAGTTTTTTTTTAGTTAAACTTTCTCCTGCTTTCTATCTATAATTTAACCCTAGTTTGGCTAAACTCTGCCACTTAAACCTATTTCTGCTCTTATAAAATTTACTCAAACCCCAGAACTTATTTTACAGTATATCTCTAATACTTTAATAATCTAGCTCCCTTTTTTTAGATTTCCAATCCAGATAGCCTAGTACATATCACTTATTTACCTTCAATTCAATGACAACCTAGTTGGTATTGGCAATTTCACCTATTTGTTGATAGCAAGAGCCCAAATTCTGGTTCTTAACTTTCAAGCTAGATGGTTTGGTAACCATATACTTTTTCTCTGCATCTAGACAAATACTCTGAAGGGTGGCTAGTAGGTTTTTTTATTATCACTATGACTTGCCTGCAATTGCAAGAGCTCTCTAGCTAGATTTCTGGTCCTCTTTTCTATTTGTAGCAGCCTGGTTGGTGTGAGTGCAACCCTAATACTCTGTATTTTATCTAGTTTAGTTCACATAGTTTCTGTTTCTTGGATCTAACTTTTACAGTAGCTCTGTCAAAAATCTGTACTATCTTTCTACTCAGAACTTGCTAAGCAGGCTTCTATATTTGCAGTTCTTTGGATTTATATAGCTTGAGGCTTATCTTGTATTTGTATCACCTATTATCAGTTTGTATTCTTTCATATAATATTACTATTATACAAATGCTCTAGATCTTCTAGTCTTGCTAGTGCAACTGTAGTTACAGATATCCTATTTCAACTGATTAATCGAATACAGTTAGCTATAAAACAAGCAAAATTTTTAAATTTTTGTTACTAGTAAGATTTGAACTCTTGACCTGTTACTTGAAGAGTGACAACTTGACAACTTTACTATATCATCACACCTCTTATAATTCTATTAATATGTAATTAAATAAATATTAATCTATATCTTTTTGTATACATTAGTTGTATTTCATATTACTTATTATTCCTGATATTTATAATCACTTATATGTCTTAGAGCTAATAACAATTATCGTATTTTTATAGCAAAAATTATTATAATATAAAGATAGTTTTAAAAACTATATAGTATTAATTAATTCAGATGTATTATACTTTGTATCAGAAAATTTTTAAATAAAGTGTATATTAATTACTATCTACAGGAGTGATTGGTATCAATTTATATTAATTATAATTGATTATAATTATTCAAATTTAAATGATTGTAATCGATTAGCACTGATTTATATCGATTGCAATCATTTAGATTTGAATGATTATAATCAATTATAATCAATATAAATTAATGCTAATCACCTCTGCAGATAATAATTGATATACATTTTATTTAAAAATTTTCTGATATAACTAGTAATAAAATATGGTATCATAAAGTAATTATCTATAGTAAGTAAAATTTTAAATTATTTATTTAATTTTATACAAGTTTTTAGTTGTACTAATGAATCTCTATTGTAGAATAATATTATTATCAATTTGATTATTTAATGTATCAATTAATATATCTATTATTACATATCATGTAATTCATACAATTTAAATACTAATATTATTATATAGTTTTTATTACTTACAAAGATAAATTTTATATAAATAAAGAAGGTATTTTTTTATAATTTTTATTGCTTAAAACTAGAAATACAATATATAAAAAAAAAAGACAAGAAAACTAATACAAATATCTTCTTCAATTTTAATACTTTAAAATGCTTTAAACAATTAGATAACCAAGATATAATATTCAATAAATGCAAAATATCAACTTTATCCAAACCAACACCATCTACACCAGCTTTAAAATTATTCGTAATATTCTTGGTTTTGGTAGCTTCACTTGCAAAGACTTCTTCCATATCTGCATTTTCTAAATTAGCATCATCCATATTATCATTACTTGCATTAACTTTACCAACAACTAGCTTGTTACAAAATAAAAAAAGAAACAAAAGGAAATAAGTTAGTTTTATTTTTATTATTAGTATTTTATTACTTATTAAATTATCTAACATAATTTTATATAATCTAGCCTGAAGTTATTGTTTCAAAAGAAGTAAATTATTTTATTCATATTTTTTTTGTTAGTATTCAACTATTTATTAAATTATCTAATAAAATTTTATACAACTTAGCCTCAAGTTATTATCAAATCTTCATCACTTACTACTTCTAAAAAAACTACTGCTACCAAAATTTTAAGTTCATAAAATAATGTCTTCTTTTTTTTTATTTTATTTTTATTTTATTTTATTTTATTTTATTTATTTATTTATTTATTTTTTAACTCTATATTGCTTAATATTTTTATTTAATAATTCAAATGACTATTAATCCACATATTATAAACAAGGTTCTAAATATCATGTAAACTAACTCTGCAAAACTTGACTAACTTTCCAGAGAATATGCCAAGCTCAAATATTTGATTAAAAAACAATAAGCATAGCTTGAAGAAGTTTTAAAAAACTTCAAAATTAGTAATGATAATATAAAAAAAAGCAAAGAAAAAATCTTCAAAAAATTCTGTAGATATTTGTTTTAAGTATATAGATACTTTTATTTATACTAATAGTTTGTCTTATATTAATATTTTTTTTTTTTTTTTTTTTTTTTAACTTATCAGCAGCCTCGCCGGTATCTTTATTAGATCAAAGTATATACATATATTAACTATCTAAGCTACAGATCTGATATCTCTTGGCTACCCCTAAAGGCATCCAAGAGCGGTCTGCCTTACCGAATAAGGCTTATGCCCATACCAGGGGCTGCACCAAGCTAGTCTGCAAAATTATACCAGAATGGTTTTGCTTTATTTATAATATAATTTTTAATCATTGCAAACCAAGTTACTTTTTTTTGTTTTTTTTCCTCCTCTTTTTCTTTTCCCTCTTTTTTCTTTACTTTTTCCTTGGTTTGGTCTTGGTTGATAAGAAACTCCCTTGTAGTCTTATGTGACTGCTTTGTGTTAGAACTCGAGCTCTCAATTTTCAGATTCCATCTTCTTTTTTTCTTAGCATCTATGCCTTTTTCTTTTTCCTATTCGTTGATAGCTAAACATCTTCACTTTCAAATGTTCTCATAAAAGAAATTCCATGCTAAATTCACTACCGTTTCCAAATAGTTTCTTGCTTTTTTTAGTGGCTTTATAATATCAAGAAGTTTTCTGAAGACTACTTTCTGGATTAGCCCTTGAGAATGCTGGTTCTTGTTCTGATTCTTTCTTCTCTTTTTTGGACCCATAATGTGTTTTTAAGTTGAACTTTACTGAGCTGACTTCTTGCTTCTGTAGATAAGATCGCCCAAGCTATATTTGATACAGTTTGTTCTAATTCAGGTCATTTTTCTTTATACTTCTCACATTTTGTTAAATGGGCTTGGTCTTCTTCTTCATCCTTTCTGCAAATTATACAAAAGAGGTTTTCGTATAGATCTGGTCTTCTGGTAGCCAGGTTTTTAAATACTGGTAATCTTTCATATAAATATTTGATTAATACCCTAGCCATTGGTTCTTCTTTGAGCTAGTATATCTGTTTACATTTTAACTTCTAATTTTTCTTCACAGAATTGGCTAGTGATTTGTTTCTGATATGTCGTCTGGTTCTTCTTTTTGTATTGCAGATGATGTTCTCTAGTCTAAACTTATTTGAAAACAAAGAACTGTTTAGATAAATTGTTTTGATGGTTCTTCAACTATTTCGCTATCTCAACACAAGAAGACGTTTGACTCTTGGGAGGTTTCTTCTACTATATCCTCCTTATTGTCTATTCTAGAACCTAATTTTGCTAGCTTATTTGCTAAATCATTCTATCTGTTATTACTATGACCTTTAACCTTTATTAATTCTAATTGTATTTCCTTAACTCTAATAATATCAACTATACTATTTACTAAACTATAATTCTCCTCTTTGAAAGTTTGTCATGTTGCACTCTTTTTCCTTCTTTTTTCTATATTTTCTATTGCTACTACACTGTCTGTATAAATTTTTACTTTTTTTTTCCTTGGTATCAAAAAGAGCATATACCAAATTCTGAGTAGTTCTGCTTTCATCATTGAAGACCAATTTCTCACTTCAAAAAAGCCCTCATTTACTTTTCAATTTTCAGTCTCGTTAACTTGTATCCAGCTGGCTCCTATTTTCGCTGGTTCGTTCTGTGCAGATATATTTCTACTGATAAGAGATCCATCAATATAAAAGGTCATTTGGAACGATAGTAGGCTTTTCTTTATTTCTGTATTCTTCTTTATGAGATCTTCCTTCATTTTCTCACTGATGTATTGTTTATTAATGATTTCGATATCTAGGTCATAACATTAAACTTCCTGCACCTCACTTTCGTTTGGTGAAATTTCAAGACTTGGGAGCCATTGTACTATTTTGAATGCTTCTTGGTCAATCTTAAGAATATTTTTCTTTTGTTTGTCCATATACTTCGTAATAGTTCCCTGTAATGATTCCTTCTTTACTTGTGATCTGTATGAATTTTTCTGCTTTTCTTGGTCAAGCTCACAGTTTTTGTATTTTTTTAATTTGACTGCTCGTGTGTTTAGATCTTCTTTTGCGTTCCAATATTCTGTTAAAAACCCTTTATACTGCTCTTTCCTTTCGGTAATCTTCTTAAAAACTGGGTTTCTATTTTTTTTGTTTTTTGTATTCTGAACTAAGATCCAGTCTTTCTTTCTATGATCATCTTCTAGAAGGTCTGGAGCAGTTTGAATCACCCACACGTTTAGGGTTTCTGTCTTGAATTCTATTTTAACAGTTCTTTTTTTTTTATCTTCTAGAACTCTTTCTTCTATTGCTTGATACCATTTCACTTTTTTTCTTTTACTGAAACTGTTTTTAAGAATCTTTAGCTGTCGCCAGGTTATTAACTAGTCTCCTGTACTTGTGAGCAGCTGCTTAAGTGAAATCAAGTTCAATTTCCTTAAAGTTCTAGCTACTGGTGCAGTGAAGCTCTCTTTGAGTATCTCTGCTAGTCTGTACTCTTTGTTTTCTGTTGACAAAGTTGTGCTTCTGAACTTTAGCATGATTCTTAGTTCTCTGGCATTTAACATTATTCAGTATGCTAAGTTGTTTTTCCAAATACGTGTGCAGGCTGCTGGTGGTTCTTCAAGCCATGTATTCTCTATTGCCCCAATCATTTTCAAACCATCGAGTATTCTTACCAGCGTCAAAAACTCCTCTGCACCAGAAGTATTTAAACAAAAGTGTAGGCTAGAGATTTGTTTTGTTAAGAGTTTGTTCTATAAAGCATTGCAGTTGCTAATACTTCTGTGTAAGATCATACTATTACTTATAGTTCTTGCAAGTCCCATCTTGTTTTTGGTCAGCACAAAAAGAGGAGTTTGGAGATTATCAATTACTTTTTGCTTAAATCTAGAGACTTGTAGCATATAATACAGCTTTGAAACTATACACATGTTATTAATGTATGCTGCTTGTACTATAGTTATCTTTTTGGGATTAAGAATCCTTGCTGTTGAACAAACAATCTCTTTTGCTCTTGCCTTTACTAAGGATTTATTTAAATTGTTATTTAGCCATACCCCAAGGAATCTTGTAATCTTATTTCTCCCTCCTTTGTAAGCCACTTATTACCAAAAAGGAGCTTTCGATTTTTTTTCTTTTCTAATGAGTTGCAGACAATTAGTTTAGATTTCTTTCCGTTAATCTGTATATTATTAATTTTAAAGAACTCTTCTGCGATTCAGATAATCTTTTTCATTTAGGTTTTGCTCTCTGCGATCCATATCATGTCATCAGCATATGCTACTACCGCTTGTCTCCATGTGATCTCTTTGTACTGGTTTACATTATCATTGACTGTGATTCTTTGTCTAACAGTGTATTCTAGCTCTGTATCTTTCTGAATTCTTGACAGTAATGGATTGTAAAAGATTTTCCAAATGAGTGGTAAGATCACTTTTCTTTGCTCAATACCATCATTTATTTTGAAACCTCTGTTGTGCCTAGGTCTGTGATAACTTTGGATTGTCTATTCTCGAAGAGATTCAGAATAAAGGTTATTGTTATTTGTGGAATCTTGATTCTTTTTAGAGCTAGCTCTAAGGATCTTAGCGAAACTGAGTCAAAAGCCTTTTTCATATCTTGTAGAACTAGCCAGAGCTCTCTGTTATTGTCTTTTGCATCTTCCATTATTGTATTTATTATTTGCACTGGTTTTTTTGTAGAGTTGCTAGGCAAACTAGCAAAGTTTGAGTCTTTTAGAATGTCTTTTTCTGCAAGAACTTTTGCTAAATGTTTGGTTACGATTTTAGTCACGCATTTTCTAAAAGTTTCTAGCAGCACTATTGGTCTAATATTGTTTAGGTTATATCTCCAGTCTGAGTCTTTTGGAATAGGGTAAATTTGTGAGACCTTTCACTTGAACAGTATCTTTTCAGAGTATATACAGCTTTCTGCAAAAAGATGGAATATCTTTTGTGCCTGTAGGCTTGCTGCTTTGATTAGAGCATATGTAATTCCTGAGACTTCTGGTGCCATATTCTTTTTAAGCTCCCTAATATGTTTGCCCATTTTTTTTCTGAGATATCTTGCGCAAGTTCATTATACCAACTTTCTTGTATTCTTTTCATTGCCTGTATATCTCTTTCCAATTGCTCTTCCAGAGCTCTTGGTTGAAGTTGCGAGATCTAAATTGTTCTTAAAAATGCTTCTTTGTTTTATCAAGAACCTCTATCAGGTTAGTAATAAGTTCTTTCTGCAATTCTTGGTCTATTAAGAGTCTATTAATTTTTATCTTCTTAAAGGGCTTCTCTAGAAGGCTTGCAATCATTCTGCTTTGTTTGCTATCTATCATCTGGTTTCTTCTTTCGATATTTTCTTCTATCTCTAATCTTTTCTGATACTCAATTTTGTTT